TCCTTCCTTCCTTCCTTCCTTCCTTCCTTCCTTCCTTCCTTTTTCTTTCTTTCCTTTCTTTTCATTTCTTTTTTCTTTCTCTCTCTCTCTCTTCCTTTCTTCTTCTTCTTCTTTTTTTTTTTTTTTTGACAGAGCCTCACTCTGTTTTCCAGGCTGGAATGCAGTGGCATGATCTCAGCTTGCTGCAACCTGTACCTTTTGGGTTCAAGTGATTCTCCTTCCTCAGCCTCCGAGTAACTGGGATTACAGGCACATGCCCATACCTGGCTATTTTGTGTATTTTCAGTAGAGATGGTGTTTCACCATGTTGGCCACGTTGGTCTCAAACTCCTGACCTCGGATGATCTGCCTGCCTCGGCCTCCCAAAGTTCTGAGATTACAGGCATGAGCCACCGTACCCAGCCTAATTCAATTATTTCTGATACCATCTACCTGGAGATAACAGCAGATCACACTGGTTAAGGATTCAGTCCCACAAAACTGATGCCCACTCCTGATGCCAATAGCAAGCCTCAGGTTATTTTGCCTGTGCTTCTGACCAACCATCTGTAAATCAGGGTTCCCACAGCTCCTTCCCTGGTTCAGGTAATTTGTTAGAGCAGCTCGCAGAACTCGGGGAAGCATGTTCACTGGTTTGTTACAAAGAATATTTTAAAGGATTCAAATCAACAGCCAGATGAGGAGATACAATGGACAGGTCTGGAAGGGGCCTGAGTACAGGAGCTTCTGCCCCTTTGGAGTTGGGGTATGCCACCCTCCTGGCTTGTGGACATGTTCTTGTTCACCTTCCTGGAAGCCCCCACATGGTTGGCTATTCACAAGTTCCTCAGACCCAGTCCTTTTTGTTTTTTTATAGGAGCTTCATTTTATAGGCATGATTGATTGAATCATTGGCCATTGGTGAGCAATTTAAGCTTTAGTCCCTCTCCTCACCCTGGAGGTTGGGGAGTGCGGCTGAAAGCCCCCATCCTCTAATCCTACCTTGGTTTTTCCAATGACTAGCCTCCATCCTGAAGCTACCTAGGAGCTGCAGCCTCAGTCAACTCATTGGCATACAAAAAGACACTTTGGAGATCCTCAGGATTTTAGGAGTTGTATGCCAGGAAACAGGCATACAACTAAAACCAAATATATATTTCACAATATCACACCAAGTCTGACTTTAATCACCTTCCTACCAACTATTAATAGTCATGGAACTACTAGCCTGGTTATCTTCTGCTTTGTTCAGTATTGTTTTATGTAATTTCATTGAGGTGTGTATTTATGTGGTGCTGGGGCAAGACATGATGGGAAGATTCTTGAATTAATCTGAGAAACTATCATTTGACCTGTAACTCTTAATTCTAAATAGCTAAATTAATGTATGATATATTGAAATTGTTGAAAGACCCTGGATAAAGGTAGAAGACAATAGAGCAGTGGTGTGGTGTTATTCTGAAAGGAGAGATCTCTCTTTGACTTGCATATTAATTAGGGAGTGGACTTTGGTAGAATATACAGATTTTTCTATTTGAATGTTGCCCTGGGTGGTATGTTACTCTTTTTTTCCAGTATTTGCCACTCCACATGTAGGCATTTGCCAGTGTGAAATAATCAAAAGGATAAGAATCCAGCTTAAGAGAGTTTATTCAAATACAAAGCTGAGGATGACCATCCAGGAAAACACAGACTCCAAAGAAATAGGATCAGTGCTTCAAAGTTGAAAAGTTAAGATCGTATTTGTATAGGCAGAAAACAGACATTTAGCGGAATAACATTTTTCACACAAAGTTGGTTTATGAGTTATAGCAGTTTGATTAGTTACAGCTTGTTTGTTTTCTTTTTCCAATTTAAAAGAATATATTTAACATTCCATCTTAGAAAACGGGTCTTTGTATAGAAGAAGAAAGAGGGAAGTTAATTTATAATGAAGATAAACAGTAAAGAGGGAAGGAGTCTTCTCTGGCACCTTTTAGTTTTTTGCAGCATTTAGCAAAGCAATGTAAGTAAGGAAAAAAAGGCTAATCTGTAATCAGGGAAACCAAGTTTATATCTGCCTAGGTTACAGCCGCCTGTTAGTGACTGAGGTCCCTTAATCACATTCCTTGAAGGCTCAAAATAAAAGTTCCAAAAGTTTGGTTTTGCATTACTTATTTTCACACAGAGAAAATATGAAGAATGACTGAGCATTGGCAAGGAGATGAGTTCATTGGGTGCTATTATGTGCTTACTGCTTGTTTTTTGCCTACACTAATAATAGTTGTCAATACCTGTGAGGTTAGGGAACAGAAAAAAATTAAAAACTATACTTTAGTCCAGTAGTTCTCAGTGAGGTCACTGTATCAGAAAATCCATCTTATAAGAACTTGTTAGAAGTGCAGATTATCTGTCCCCATCCCAGATTTAGTGAATCAGAAACCCTGGGGATGAGACCAGCAGCCTATGTTTGAAGAAGCCTTCAAAGTAATTGTGATAACCTGCTTTAGCTCGGGGATCAGCAATCTACAGCCTATGGACCTAATTTGGTCTATAACATGTTTTTTTGTAAGTAAAATTTTATTGAAACAAAACCATACCCATTTGTTTATTTAGTTTATGGATTCTTTTGTGCTACAGCGGCAGAGTTGAGTAGTTGCAACAGAGAACTTATAGCCAAAAGTATTTACCATCTGGTTCTTTACAGAAAAAGTTTGCTGACTCCTGCTTTAGGCCTTAGGCACTAGAGGCCCAAATTCTGAATGTATGAGAATATATTTGCTAATTAAATTGAAGACCATGAAGAAAAATGAAATTTTTCATGGCTTTTAAAAATTTTAACCTGTTACTTTTCCCTTTTAGTCAAGGATGCTATTTAAACGGGCCTTTTAATTCAAATCTACCGCCTATCCCGAAGCAAAGGTCATCTTCCATATCACTGACTCACCATTTAAGTCTGCGAAGAGCTGGTAAGAAATCATTCTTTATGACTCATATATGGGGATTCTCAAAGTATATGGTAGTGTAAACACTTTTCATTACACATTTATAGCTAATTTTGAATACAATTTCATGTGTTGTAAGTTAACATGACTACGAAGTTTGGGTTGGCTGCTAATTGACTGTTGGCAAATTCTTTCAGTAAGCAGTTTTAGAACACCTCTGTACCAAGTGCTTTGCTAAGCAGTAGGGATTCAGAGATAAAATATAGAACTATTTAACCTGAATGGTTGCCGACCCAGGACAAGGGAAAATCTTCAAGAAAGAGTATTTCTTTTGTAGAATGGTAATTATGGAGAAAAAAATTAATATTAGAACAGAAAAAGCCATGACTTCATCCTGGAAAAAAAAAAACATTCTAATAGGAATTTTCTTTATATTAAAAGATTATAGAATGCTTAAAATCTTGGACAAAAGATATTTTAACAAATATAACATAGGAATAGCAAAGCAATACAGATACATTATGGCTGATATGACATAGGTACAATTTCGTGATTGGGATATACAATTACAAGATTCTTTTATACGCAATAAACTATAAAGCATGTGAAGAGGTCAGAAAGTGTTATTAATAATCAAGAAAAGCAGGCATTAGAAAAGGATCTACATATGATATTGATGTTTTATTTTACAGTTTTTACAATATCAATGATGTTTTAAAGGAAATAGAAGGAATAATGGCCAAAATGAATGGATATTTTGAATAGAGACTAGAACACTGCTAAAGAAATGGACAGTCTAGAACTAAGAAATGCGCCTGATTAAATCAAAAGCTTATTCAATGGTTTAAGAATAGATTGGACATAACAGAATATAAAAGTAGTAAAGTTGAAGTCAGGTAAATAGAAAATATCCAAACTGAAGCACAGAGAAGGAAAAATACATAAATAACAGAACAAAGTTTAAGAGACATATGGGACACAGAAGTTCTAAAATATGTTTGACTGAAGTCCCAGAAGGAAAGGAGAGAAACAAAAGGACAGAATAAGTTACCAAAACTAATAAAAGAAGGCAAACAACAAATTCATAAAGTGCAGTGAGCCCCAAGCAGGATAAATACTAGAAAATGACAGCTACATATATGAGTCAAGGCTCTAAATTATAAAGAAAAAAGTTTCAAAAGCAACCAAATAAAGATAGATTATTTTTCCGGGAACAACAGTAATACTGACAGCGACTTGTTAACAGCAACTGTGAACTTCAAAGACAGTGGAATGGCATATTTTAAAAAGTGTCAAAAGAATAAAACTTGCCAACATAGAATTCTTTTTTTTTTTGGGAGACGGAGTTTCACTCATGTTACCCAGGCTGGAGTGCAATGGCACGATCTCCGCTCACCGCAACCTCCGCCTCCTGGGTTCAGGCAATTCTCCTGCCTCAGCCTCCTGAGTAGCCGGGATTACAGGCACGCGCCACCATGCCCAGCTAATTTTTTGTATTTTTAGTAGAGACGGGGTTTCACCATGTTGACCAGGATGGTCTCGATCTCTTGACCTCGTGATCCACCCGCCTCGGCCTCCCAAAGTGCTGGGATTACAGGCTTGAGCCACCGCACCCGGCCTAGAATTCTTTATCTAATGAAGAAATATCCTTGAAAAATTAAATTGGAGCCAGGCATGGTGGCTCACACCTGTAATCCCAGCCCTTTGGGAGGCCGAGGCGGGTGGATCACGAGGTCAAGAGATCGAGACCATCCTCGTCAACACGGTGAAACCCCGTCTCTACTAAAAATACAAAAAATCAGCTGGGCATAGTGTCGCGTGCCTGTAATCCCAGCTACTCAGGAGGCTGAGGCAGGAGAATTGCCTGAACCCGGGAGGCGGAGGTTGCGGTGAGCCGAGATCGCGCTATTGCACTCCAGCCTGGGTAACAAGAGCGAAACTCCGCCTCAAAAAAAAAAGAAAAATTAAATTGAAATAAAATTTTTTTTTTTAGTATCCTCACTGCCCCACCCCCAACAGTAACTGTGGTGATAGGTATGTTAATTAATTTGATTGCGGTAATCATTTCACAGTAAATATGTAAATCAAGTCATCATGTTGTACACCTTGAATAAGGCAGTTTTTGTCAATTATACTTCAGCAAATCTGGAAAAAAATCTTTTACTAAATCAGATGAGAAGCTAGAAAAAAATACATTTTTTTTTCAAACAAACAAACAAAATCTGAGAGAATTTGTAGGTGGCAGACCTGTGCTACTGAGGTTCAGTAGAGGAAGTTTCTTAGGCAAGAAGAAAATTATCCAGATTGAGGCATGGAACTGTAAGAACAAACCAAAAGCACTGGTAAGGCTAAATAGATGGGTGAAGATTAAAAAATACTGATGGGCAAACACAATAGTAACTTTCTTATAGCATTTATAAAATACATAGAGGCAGGTAAATGATAACAATAGCATAAAGGGTAGGGAAGGGGTAAATGTACTTAAATTCGTTGTAAGGTAGTAGTAATGCTAGCAAAACAGCAAAAAGTTATAATTTAAGGGAAACTAACATTCAAAGATGAACATTGTAATATCCAGGGGCCAATTTAAAGACCAATAAAACTATATAACTAAAAAGCTAATAGGGAGGTAAAATGGCATGATTTAAAAAAAAAAAACTCGTATAATGCAAAAGAATCTGAGAAAAGAAAAGCAAAAACAGAAGAAACACATAAAAAATAAATAGCAGCATGGTGGATTTTAAACACATTTTTTTACATTAAATATATACCTTGGGGATAGAAGGAGGAATCTGACTAGAGTTGTCAGTATATTACCTGAAATGTCAAGTTTTCAACAAAAATTGGACTTTACACTCCAATTAGAAGACAAAGATTAGGCCGGGCACTGTGACTCACACCTGTAATCGCAACACTTTGGGAGCCTGAGGTGGGCGGATAACATGATGTCAGGAATTCAAGACCAGCCTGGCCAACATGGTGAACCCCATCTCTACAAAATACATAAATACAAAATGCAAAAATTAACAGGATGTGGTGGTGGGCACCTGTAATCCCAGCTACTTGGGAGGCTGAGGCATGAGAATCGCTTGAATCCAAGAGGTGGAGAGTGCGGTGAGTCGAGAGGGTGCCACTGCACTCCAGCCTGGGCAACAGAGCAAGACTCCATCTCAAAAAAAAGTAATCTTCTGACTGCTCAGTGGTTGATGCCCAAATTATACTGATCCCCCAGGGATGTCATTTAGGAAACCATGTTTAAAAATACAATTAAAAACTCAAGAGAAAAAGCTAGTAGAGAACTAAGTAATTACACATTATAGGAGAAACAGAATCTATACAATTAGTTCAGGAAAGTCACTAAGCAAAGAATCAGAAAGAAGAAAACAAACACGAAACCAGCAACATAAGAAACCTTTGGTGTTGGAGGGATCTGCTATCAAAACTGTTACAGTATTTTATCTACAATATCAAATTTTCAACAAAAATTTGTGAAACATGCAAAGATACAAGAAATTTTTGACATGTACACAAGGAAAAGGTAACCAACAGAAATTATCCCTGAACTGGATTGGATTTTGGACTTAATATAAAACAAAATTATAGCATTGTTTTAATAATTATGAAGTAATTGCTATTTTTATTCAATATTGGATTAGAGGTTCTAGTCAGAGCAATTAGGTAAGAAGGAATAAAAGGAAAAAGTAAAACTGTATTTGCAGATGGCATGAGGTTGTATATACAAAATTCTAGGAAATTCATTAAAATCTATTATAATCAATAAATAAGTTTATCAATGTGGCAGGATATACAAAAACCAATTTTATTTCTATACACTAACATTAAGGAATCAAAAACTGAAGTTACAAAAAGATTTCCATTTACAGTTAGCATTAAAAAATCTTTGAAATAAATTTAGCAAAATAATACAAGACCTTTGGAATGAAAACTGTAAAATACTGTTGAAATTAAAGAAGACCTAAAATATTAGAAGACATTCCATGTTTAAGGATCAGAAGACATAATATTATTAAGATGGCAACATTCTTTAAATTGAACTAGATTCAATACAATCCTTATCAAAATTTCAGCTTTGCCAAAATTGACAATCTGATCCTAAGATTCATATAGAAATGCAGGAGTCCCAGAATAGCCAAAACAGTTATTTAATGAAAAAGAAGAAAAATATGAGGACTCCCACTTTCAAATTTTAAAACTTACTACCAAGCTACAGTAACTAAGACAGCATGGTACAGGCATAAAGATATTTCTATTCAATTAAATAGGATTCAGATTTTAGAAATAAACCTTGACATTTATGGTCAAATGATTTTCAACAAGGATACCAGGATACTTCATTGAGAAATGAATCGTATTTTCAATAAATGGTGCTGAGAAAAGTGGATATGAACATGCAAAATAATCGATTTGGAATCCTACCTCTCACTATACTCAAAAATTAACGTGAAATGCATCATAGACTCAAATGTAAACATTAAAACCATAAGAGATAGCACGTGTTGGCAAGAGTGTGGAGAAAAGGGAACCTTTTATACACAGGGAACGTAAATTGTTGCAGCCATTATGGAATACAGTATGGAGATTTCTCAAAAAATTAAAGATAGAACTGCCATATGACCCAGCAATTTTTCTTCTGGATGTATACCGAAAGGAAATGAAATCAACACCTTCTAGAGATATCTGCTTTCCCATGTTCATTCACAGTAGCCAAGGTTTGGAAACAACCTAATTGTTAATCGATAGTGAATGGAGCAAATATAATAAATATATACAATAGAATATTATTTAGCTTTAACAAGGAAGGAGATCCTGTCATTTATGACAACATGGATGAACCTCAAGAACATTATGCTAAGTGAAATAAGTCAGACCAGAAAGAAAAATACTACTTGGGAGCTCACTTATATGTGGAATCTACAAAAAATAGTCGGATTCATAGGAAAAGAGTAAAATGGTGGTTATCAGGGGCTCGGTGGGGTAGTAGAAATGAGGAAATAAAGGTCAAA